AAAAATGCGTTCTGTCTACTTGCAATAGGTACATTGCTTTTAACAATCAAATTATAAAATAATATGTCTGTTGAGTTTAAACAAGGTGGTTTCTTATTACCTGTTTTAGACATATTTGTGTCTCTTCAACATTTACAGGACTAATCCCAGATCTATACTTATATTATGATTCATTATAATTTCTGGGAGATAGCGCATAACTTGGCTTGATCTCAAGTTGAACAGGGCCTGTACTCTCGAACCCTTGGCCCCGATGACTGGTGCATCTCTCCTCTCTCTCCCTCTGTGTGTATATATATATATATATATATATATATACTTGCGACAATTATTTAAGACGTTTTTTTATGTTTATATATATATATATATATATATATATATATATATATATACTGAGTAAGAGATAATGAAAGAAGGATATTATTCATCGAAATATGAGACGAATTTCCTTTGTGACAGAAAGAGATAACTATTTGTCGATCGAGCCAAAGGCAGATTTTTAGGCCTAGACAAAATCTAGGATTTCCAATGCTGATTTTCAAAGCTGACAAACAAGCAGATCATAGACATTTGTAAGAATGGCAGAACAGTCATACTAAATTTACCGTAAATTCTATGGCCTTATGCCTGACTAAGCTAAGCCCGGTAAATAACAAAATATGCGACGATAAAAATAAGTAGATAAAAGAAAGTGAATGAGAGAGAGTCTAACCGAAAAAAAAAAAAACAGATGAGCGTATAAATATATAATAAATAATAAATAATATATATATATATATATATATATATATATATATATATATATATATATATATATATATATATATATATGAGAGGGAGAAGGAGAGAAAAAGAACTGTGAGTTTCAGCAGGCGAGCAAGTGAGAAGCGACATTGTGAGTGTCGGCCGATTTGTTATTGATGGTCAAGTCTGTCGGGAAATCAAATGATAAGAGGCTCGGCAAATTTGTTACATTTTTTAAACCGCCTTTCTGTCCATCTCGCCATATTGTTCTCTCTCTCTCTCTCTCCCTATCTCCCTCATCCTCTTTGCAAAGCTTTGACTCTCTTATTCTAACTTAAGCAGCCTAGTATAAAAAAAAAAAAAAAGAAAAAAAATTACATGCGTCATAGCAGAGGCTCGTTCGGCCAAACCGTGCAGTTAATTGTCGTTTTGCACCATGAAGCCGGGAAAAGGTAAACTGGGAGGGGTGGGGGTGAGTAGGGATTCCACGAAGATGGTAATGCTTTGATGGTAATATCAGTGGTAGTATAGGGGTGACGCCAGCGCTGATGACGGTGTCATTTATTGCAGTCGTGACCGTGTAGAACACCTATTAGAGAAACGATATTAACAGAAGTTGTGTTAGTCATGGCGTCAACAGTGTAAAACATCGAATAATAATGAAAATGATGATAAACCGAGCAGCCAATTGGTTTTGTTTAGTCAGGATAAAAAGCGAGCTGATAAAGTGTATGTTCACTAAGTATTGTTTCCAGAATCATTTCTCTCCATTTTGTCCTTGTCGGCTCACGGAGAATTCTTTGAGTAGATACTTATCACTACTTGAACTCAGCAATCAAAGAGGTTTCTGTCATTTAATCCGTTTAACAATACGATTGTCTTTTACGCTTAAGTTGGGAACCTTCTACCTTGAGTCTGAAAACCGAAACACTGCATCGCTATGACTGATGCTAACCTCCAGGAGATTATATCCATTGCGCCTTCTAGGCCAAATATTTTTCACAGATATGAAGTGGTACGATTATATTGAATCAATTTGCTAGGTCTGGTGTTAGGTTCCCTGCATGGCATTTTGCATATGTATAAATCTACCATTCGTCTTTACATAGAATATTGCCGCTACACCTGGACTGGTGCTTCTGCTGTGTATATGAATATTATTGAGAAAATCCACGGAAGAATTTGCTATGTTTTTGGTTCTGACCAGACATCTCGGCTTCAATCACTTTCCCAACGATGTAACATAGCTTTCCTCTGCTCTTTCTGTAAGCATTTTCATACATAGCAATTCTTCTGGTGAACTTTCCGATTTGGTACTGTCATGGTAATTTACCCACGCACGCATGGATTCTCCCTGCTATAAATAGGAGCAGGTTCTGCCTTTTGAAGAGGGAAATTTCCAGCAGTCAGCTCTGACAGTGGGACCGAACATTCTTGCAGTAACACTATCGTTTGTATATGTTTCTATTACTGTCCCTGTTAATATATTTGTTTAATTCGATTAATCTATTTGTGTTTTTATTTCTGGCCACTATAGCTTCTTGACTTCAAGTAGATTATTTAAGCAAATTGGCAGCATTTTAAGCGTACCTACCTGCAACCTGTACGGCATTCACCCGACGTGGGTTGAGCCGGCTCCAATATTGGAGTTTCATGGGAATTTGGAATTCACAAGCGGTCCCCAACCCACATGTATAGCACATGAAATTTGATTATAGTGGTGAAGGTTTCGTGCAGGACCATCCACACTTTTTGAAGGGCCGATTACAGAGACCTGGTGCACTAAGTGCCACAAGGTCCCCAAACGACCCTCCCTAGGTTTTTGAATTCAGAGTTTTTCCTTCTCCTAGATCAGTTGTCATACAAGGCTATAGAACCCAGTCTGTCCTGCTATTTACCCATAGCTGGAGGGAGAAGAAGAGGATTCACACCTTTCCCAAGGGTATCAGCACGTAAGAGACTGTAATGGATTCGACTGGAATTCGAACTCGGCTCTCCGATTCCTCGATCCAAGCCGCAATCCATTACTCCACCATTTTTCGTTTCCATTTTCTCTAAAAACTCGTCTTTGCTCACATGTTTGATCCCTAGTATCCTCAGCGTCTTTCTGTAGAACCACATTTCTGTTGTTTCAAGTCTCTTCTTCATCTTCGAGAAGATTGTTCTGCATTCACTGTCATATAGGAGGGCAGATATCACGTTTCAGTTCAAAGAAGAAACAGAAAGAGAGCCGTACATGCGAGCAATGCGAGTAAATACACTATTAAAACAGAATCTATGGTTACATCTAACACGTTCAGCAGTAAAATGTTGCCAGTCTTCTACTACGCTTAAAATGCTTCTGCTTCTTTTCTCTCCATAGGTGGTCAGCTACGCCTGATTTTTCTATTTCCCCTCGTGTTCCGGCTTTATGATGTTATTGCAGTTTTACCTTAAGGAGGCGGCCTGTTCTTCCTTTATATTTCTTACCACAGCTGCACGGGATTGCGTAAACACAGTTCTTACTCATGTTCTCCTCTTTGGTGAGGGTCTTACTCCGAAGAGGTATCTGGAAGTGTCGAACCACTTTTGATGGTCGCCCTGATGCTATATGGACTACATATCATTTCTATTTTCTCTTATAATCCCTTCATATAGGGTACGCAGACTGAAGTTGTTTTCTGAGTGTTGTTATCCTCTTGTACCATTCTATCCCAATTTCTCGAAGCTGCTGTTATGTACCCAGGGTAGTTGTTCTGTTGTAGGGTATTGCTTATACTGACCATTTCTTGATGATATATCTCTGGATCGCCAATTATAACTTTTGCTCGATGTTGTAAGCATCGAAGGATCTCTTTCATTACACTGTAGAGGTGGTGGGAGTTGAAATTGAGTACTCTGTAATTATTCAACTTTTATACGATTTTTCATCCAATAAAAAGACTACGTTCCACTTAATGTACATTATTACGGAATTTAATTCTTCTAAAGAAGTAAGACGCTCAAATTATGAAGATATATAGAATTGATCCTAGATATAAAGTTGTTAAGCTCAAAGTGATCAGAGAAGCATCGTTTCGGAAGTAGCAGTTATTGTGAAGAAGACATCTGCGTGGAACTTCTTGCTTACTAATGGAATACGAATGGGATGAAGATGAGTGAAAATTATGTATACCATAGGTCTTAGTTGTAAATTAACGAATGTAGAATGTAGTTCGAGTAAACATTTACTACTGGAGAGGCGATAGGATAACACGGGGCAAGCGATAGTCCGTTTGCGGGGAAATGGGAAGGAGAGTTGAAAATGATGAAGGAATCATCTACCAGACCGTGTAAACGCTTTTGACATCTATCAACGTTGGGAAATAAGTAAGCCAGTGTCCTTAAACCGTCGGTCACGACGATTTCACAAACCGATATTCGAAGTCAAGTCACATGATCGTTTTTTAAAGGTCTAACAATTTGCCTAAAATAATATTTGAAATAAAAATTAAAAATCAGAAATGCTAACAAAATTGTCTTCAAGTCCTAAACAATGAAATAAAGAATCATTTTTAGCTATATCTTTTTATACCTCATGATATCAACTCAAATAGTCACCGTTCTTCGAGTATTTCTTTCATTTGTATTAGAGGTCTTACGGCCGTACGATGTTGAAACACTGGTTCTCGTACGATCACCGAAGCTAAATAACGTCGAGGCCGTTCGGTGCCGCTTGAGAATACTTGGTGCCGTAAGTTTGAAGGCTGGTGGAATGGATAACGGCTCGGAATTGGAAATTCGAGATGTCCACACGGCATATTGAAGGCAAGAGGTACATAGGAAAACAACGCGTAACATTGTGAACTTCATAAAATGGATGGCGGAACAGTGTTTGGGAGAAATAACAAAAACAGAATGATAGGAAATTGTGGAGAGCCATGTTCGCCTACGTCATGAGTGGAAACACGGCGCATGAAAAAGAAGTATTGATACTAAATGCAGCGAAGTGATTACCTTGTATTCGTATTTTACTGCCAGTAGCATTTGGTACTTTTAACATGTCGCCAAAAGAGTTCAGCACCTTCCTCAGTATTCGAACTGATTGCTAATAATGCAGTCGACCGGACCAACTCTTTGTGTTCCATTCTTCTGATCTTTTTTTAAGGTTCTTCAAGACTTTTCCAAATGTATCAATAAAAATGGACTGCTGACTTTATTGAACACAAGTTTCAAGTTCTCCGTGAAGTTTCGAGTTCTTCAATTTTTTTCAGCTTGACTATGTATTTGCTATGGCTTACAGCCACATCACGTTGAAATACAGGTTCTCATACGATCGCTGAAGTTAAGCAGCATCGAGCCTAGCCAGTACCCAGAGGGGTGAACGCCTAGGAATTCTACTTAATGTAAGCTTGGATGTGCGGGTGGTGTAATGGATAATGGCCCTGAATTGTTAATCGGGGAGTCCAGTTCTAATTCCAGTCGGGTTTGTTATATTCACTTATACGCAAATACCTTTGGGAAAGGTAGTGATTTTACAAGCATAGCTCAGATGTGGCACAAGGCCGAAAGTATGGGGCACCCAGTGAGTATCGAACTGACTACTAAGTTGCAACTGTTCTAGCGAAATAAGCTTGCGAACCATTACACCACGTCGAGGTGCTCTTTTTTCCCAGCGTAGCTTAGATGTGGCACAGAGCCGAAAGTATGGGGCACCCAGTGAGGATCGAACTTACTACGCAGACGTAATTGTTCTAGCGAGACAAGCTTGCTAACCATTACACCACTTCGAGGTGCCCAAACCTTTGGGAAAGGTATGAATCCATCTATTCTCTCGCCCAGCGATGTAAGACATGTATCACTAAACCATTATTATTTAAAAAATAATAATCTTACAATCTAAAAATATATTCTTGCTTTAAATAACTTGCAAAGGGTCGAAAAACCATAGAAAACGAATCAATGTGTCAATCAATCTGGGTTTGCTGCAGCAGTGAGGATTTTGACGATTTCTTTCTCTTACTTTTACGATGAAAAGATTTGGTCATTGGATTTAGATTAGTTGATCTGTTTGAATTTCTATGACAAGTTCCCAGACAATTTTAACTTTATTTTATCATCTGGACAGCATTTTGATTTATGCATATGCCATCTAATTAGATACATTATTAAATCCTACTTTTATTCAAATGTTCATTCGTAAACTGCTACTAAATCATAACAATTTCCTGCTAAAATCTAGATTAATTTCTCTATTCCTTTACTATATAATTGACTAGCAGTAGAGCCCAGCGTTGCCCGGCGATGTAACAGCAAGAGATAGTATCGACCATCATAAAGACTGAAAAATAAAATTGACAAAGATTATTGTTTAAGGTTGACGAACACGCCTGTCTTAATAATTTTTTTTTTTTTTACGAATTGGTCAAACCCAAACTCAAACAAAAACATTGTTTTCAATCGTTATGAGTCTATCGATTGAATAGAATTTTATTATAAACAATTGTCTTGTAAATGGAATTTTTAAAGCATTCTGAATGTAAAAATAAAGAAAAAAGTGTGCAAGACAATAAGAAACACTAAAAAAAAAAAAAAAAAAGTGAAGTTTTGTTGAAATCGGTTGAAAAATGTAGGAAATCCGATCCCATATATAAACGAACACACACACACACACACACACACACACACACACACACACACACACACACACAACCTGGGTTTTTTAAGTTAACTCGACATGAGTTGTCATTTTTATTCAGCGATGCCTGTTAATCGTGTTTTCAAATTGATTTCGTGCAAAAATAATTGTGTTTTTCCAATTTTTGGCGCTGTTAGAACCACCGCGAGGTAATTTTACGCAGTCCTGTGAAGTTTTGTTGAAATCGGTTGAAAAATGTAGGAAATCCAATCCAATATATAAACGTACAGACACACACACACAACCTGCGTTTTATAATAAGTATGATTTCTTCCGTCTGTGTCTCTCTCAACAGGCAATAGTTATTTTTGCCAATCGAATAAACGTGGCAAATTCTTTTATTTTGTTTAATGAACAAGAAATTCAAATAAAATGGGGGGGGGTAGTATTTTCTGATTTTTTAAAGCCTTCATCTGCTTCAATCATCGAAGAAACCTGAGAGCAGAAAAAAACAGACCTTGATTCTTCATCCGAAGACCACAGAATATAGTGTGGGCTCGCCCTCGGTCCGTACATTAAGACCTCAAGTTTCTGAAGTCAGAGTTGTGCTTCTCCTAGCTCGGTTGCCATCCAAAGTTATAGAACCCAGTCTGTCCTGATATTTATCCATAGATTGGTGGCGGGGGAAGGCAGGGGAAGAAGAGATAGATTCATGCCGTTCCCAAGAGTATTAGCACGTAGGGAAATGTAATGAACTCCACTTCAGAAAATACTAAATAATTAAAGAAATGTTTGGGAAACGGGTGTATAAGGGTGTTGATAACAACAAAATATGTTTGCCTTGCATCGTCATAACAAAAATTATGCTTCAATGTCGAAACGGAAAACGTAATTGTAATATTAACCGTTTCCTTATAAGGAAACATTCGGCATTCATTGCCCAAGCAGCTAGTTCTACTTTCGTTTGAAATTTGTAAAAATGTTTTCTTATGTTCTCTAACTGTTATTGCTCTTTTCAGTATTGACGGGGGTTTCCTATCAAACTTTTTTGTTTGAAGTTGACTAAAACACAAATGTTTTAATTATGTCATTAATTTCTCTCAGAGCTAAATGCGTTACATTTTTAGTGGTTGCTGCTGTTGACTGTTCTTAAGTGATGTGCATTTATTTTGTTATTTGGTACACTTATAGTGAGGGATGCATGCATACAATTCGACTGGAATTCGAACTCGACTCTTGGATTCTTCAATCCAAGCCGCTATCCCTTACTCCCTCACGCCTTTTTGTTATAACGTTCTGAATATGTCGAAAAATGTTAATATTTAGTTTTAGTGTATAATCCAATCTCCAGGCCTCAAAAATCTACAAAAAGAACTGGGCATTCTACAGGAATAAATTACTCTATATATCTATCGAAATTAATTAAACGAGGCAGTTTTTTTTCCCGCAGTAAGTTGCCATTTCTTTCTGCGGTAGACCAGTTGATATCCAAGGTTATAGAACCCAGTCTTCCCTCCTATCTACCTATAGATGGAGGGAGAAGAAGAGGATTAAATACATTTTCCCAAGGGTATTAGCAAGTAAGTGAATGCAATGGATTCGATTAGAATTCGAACTCGGCTCTCCGATTCCTCAATCCGAGCCGCTAAAAAAAAATAGTAATGGTAAATCAAAAACCACTATGTATGAAAATATTAAGTAAAAGTTTCGAAATATGTTTGATTTACAAATATAAACGTTGCAAGTAGTGAACACCATAATCACTAAATGTATTTCAAATTTACTGACGAATAGATTTTGATGAAATGCTGAGTAAAAAAAAAAAGAAATCATTATTGTGTTTGTTTTTCGCCTTTCCAAATAGTTATTATCTGTTAGTTGACATGTCTTCTAGGGAAAAATAGTGAAGTGGTTTCTTCTTGAATTTTCAACGATTTGGAATAAAGTGGTCCTTTTTCTAGATTAGCTGCCAACTTATGTCAAAGAGCCAAGTCTACCAGCCATTTAATAAATTGATACGGAGACTAGAGACCCAGTTCATGCCTTTCCAAAGATTATTTGTGCAAAGGTGGGCGCGACAAGTAAGAGGGAATTTAAAGTAACTTTTACTTTTACGCTACGACATCTTCCCTAAAAAATATTAAAAGCAATGTAGATTGAATGTCATATATTTTTTGTCTCATACTTAAAACATGTTGTATTCTTATGTAAAAAAATGATAACAATGTTGATAATAGAAAAGAGAGAGAAAAATCGAACGGAAAAGATTTAAGGATAACGAAAGAATGGGGACGAAGGGAAGATGATGATGATGAAGAAGAAGATGATGATGATGAAGAAGAAGATGATGATGATTATGATGAAGAAGAAGAAGAAGAAACTTGAAAAAAGCCTAAATGCAATATTGAAAGATAACGGGGAAAATATAATAGAAAATAGAGAGTAAACAATATAATGATAACGAAAGAAAGAGGAAAAGAAGAAGATGAAGAAGGAAAAGAAGAAGATGAAGAAGGAAAAGAAGAAGATGAAGAAGGAAAAGAAGAAACTGTGAACAAGCTTAAACGCAATGTTGAAAAATAATAAGACAAAGATAATAGAGAGAAAACTTGGACGGAAATTATATAACGGTAAAGTAAGGAGGAAGGGGAAAAGAAACGACGAAAAAGAAGGGGAGGAGAGGAAGACGAAGAAGAAAGGGAGAAGACGAAGAAGAAGAAGAAGAAGAAAGGGAGGGGGCAGAAGACGAAGAAGGAGAAAGGCGGAGAAAGAAGGCGAAGAAGAAGAAGAAAAGAAAGAGAAAGAAGACGAAGAAGAAGAAGGGGAGGAGAAAGAAGACGAGGAAGGAGGTGAAGAGAGGAAGACGAATTAGAAGGGGAGAATAGGACGAAGAAAAGGTTTTTTTCAAAGAAGAAAAGGAAAGAAAAAAAAGAAGGAAGGGAAAAAGGAGAAGAAGAAAAAAGAAGAAGAAGAGGAGAAAAGAAGAAGAAGAAGAAGAAGGAAGAAAAGAAGGAGGAGGAGGAGGAAGAAGAAGAGGAGGAGAAGAAGAAGAAGGAAAATGAGAAGAAGAGTGAAAATGAGAAGAATGAAAATAATAAGGCATATAAGAAGAAGAAGAAGAAGAAGAAGAAGAAGAAGAAGAAGAAGAAGAAGAAGGAGGAGGAGGAGAAGGAGGAGGAGAAGAGGGGGAGGAGAGGAAAGAAGAAGGAGGAGGAGGAGAGGAAAGAAGAAGAAGAAGGAAGAGGAGGAGGAGAGGAAAGAAGAAGAAGAAGAAGGGGGAGGAGGAGAGGAAAGAAGAAGGAGGAGGATGAGGAGGATGAGAGGAAACAAGAAGAAGGAGGAGGAGGAGGAGGAGAGGGAAAAAAGGAGGAGATTGAAAGTTAACCGGTAAAGAGTTTTCCAGTACAAGAAGAAAAAAAAGTGAATAAAATCAAATGAAATGAAGGAAAAAAAAAAAAGGAGACGACGAAATATGATAAAGATGACAAGTGAAATTCATGAAAGGATCTAACGACAGAAATGTCAAAAAATAATCAAACGAAATAAAAAAAAAAAAAAATAGGGAGATTAACTCGTGGATTCTTCAATAAGTAAAAACAAAATCGAAACAAGCAAGAAAATTAAAACGGTAAAATTAAAGAATCAGGACGCAAATTACATACGTAAATAACAACTGTAAATTGAAAAGTAAAAAGTAACGCCAAATGGTTTTAGAAGAGGAAACAAGATAAAAATTTAACGCCATTATATTTATTACTTTTCTAGAGAGC